TGCCGAGCTGCCCCAAACCACCGAGGTGTCGGGGTGACGGCTCCGCCGGCGTGCGGTGGCTCTGGGTCTGCCTCCAGCCACTGGGGACTTCTGAGAGCTCAGTAAATGTGAACTTTAATGTAAGGTCCCTGATTGCAAATTATGGGTGTATGATTTATATGGGGCTCAATGAATGATTTATAACATGTTAAGTGATGATTTAGGTAGAAAACACAACCCCCTCTTACAGAATCTTTAATGAAAAGTGTCAGTTCTCATGAATTTATTTCTGAAGCTGTGTTTGAACTCGGCATGTTTGACATAAATCACGTCTAATTGTCATTTTATGATTAATGAACATATGCTGGCTGTTTTTCTCCATAATTAAACTTTATGTTCAATTCGTCTGGCAAAGCAAAACAAGTTTACGCGTTGTCATATGCTGGCTCTCCAGGTCTGTGTATGAGAAAGTGCCTGGATTTCCAATTCCCAAGCGAGAGCTGGATGAGAGACTTGTGGCCGGTTTTGCAGAAAGTCAGGTTTGCCTTGGCTGAGAACGCAGATGTGGTGCTGTCCCTCCCTTTTAAGACAGTACTGCTCCTTAAATGACATTTACACTTCTTAGATAATGCCAGGCGCCTCTCTGGTGGTGATGACTGAGGCAAACAAGACCAAGGTCATTTGTGACCACGCACGGCCTTGGCTCATGAGGAAACAGAGGGCCTGGCTTATGGAGTTACAGAGGTCTCTAGCCCCGAGGAGCTGCAGGTAATCGGGCAGCTCTGCAGCACCCAGCCACATACGAGCAGGTTCTTTTCTACACCCTTAGTGATCTGCCAGAGCTGAGGATCCCCGGGCTCCTGCGTGGGCAGGATCCCTTAGGCTTCACACCGCTTCCGTGCTGAGGAATAATAAGACTCTTCTTCTTTCAGGACATAGACAAGTTTGGCAACGAGATCACTCAGCTGGCTCGCCCGCTCCCGGTTGAGTACCTAATCATAGATGTAAGTACTTGTTGCACTTGTTTGCTTGCAGCAGGAGATGGTCAGGGCGGAGTGAAGTTCTTAACCCACCTCTGAAATTCACATTGGAGGTGATTCATAGGACAGATTTTCCTTCTTTCTCCTTTACCCTCTGCTGCCAGGCATTTCTAGCGCAGAGGCTGGCATGCTCTGGGGTAGCCGCAGTGCTCCTTGGGATCAGTGCGGTGCCAGGGAACACACTTGCTTTCTGGGAAGGCCCTGCCTTGGTGTCTTATCGCGGCTCCGAATTGGCATGTAGCCACGCAGCAGGGGAAGCAGCCAGCCCCACGGATACATGTGCCGGGCACTACCTCACGGGGAGCTAATTAGAGAGCTCCAGTTGTCTGTCTCTTAGCAGCAATTAAGAATCCAGCTCCTTTTAGTGACTCAGCAGACCAGGTTGGTGGTACAGAAATTACTTTTCTTGGGGGAGGGAGTTCACGCTACAGCACAGCTTGGCTGGAGCCGGGCTGCTGCCTGCCCGTGAGCAAGCGCTGGCAGGCACTGGGGCACAGCTCTGCCCTTTGGCTTGAAAGGAAACTGTTACGGTGTGGAAGGCAGGAAAGCAAATCATTTGGATGACAGATGATATTGCTGGAGTTAGAGGTGGTGCCAATAACGATTAAATCCACCGGAGCAACTGGTCTGGTCCAGCTGCCCCTGGCACAGGCAGTGTCCTGTGGGCACAGGGAAGCTGGCAGCCTGGAGGCTTCCGCTGCCTTGTCCTTCTTCCCCGTTCACTACCTGCTGTGTGTGTCGCTTATCAGGGCGGCACTCGAGCTGACACTGGGACGTGTGACTCACACAGAGAAATGTCGTGTCCGGAACAACGGGCCCATTGTGCGAGACCCTCGGACGCCCCATGCCAGTCGGCAGTGCTGGAGCATATTTATTACTAAAGTAGTAAAGGCATCTGTTTCCGGGCTACGTGGGGTGTAATTAAGATGAAAACAGATTGATGAAACATACATTTAGGAAAAGCTGCATTTCTGAAGCAACTTTTTTTGTCTCTCTTTTTAAAAAAACAAAACAAAACAAAACAAAAAAACAAACAGAATCATAGAAGGCATTCTTCCAGTTAATGCTGTCCTGGCAGGTATTTCTGCATCTCTGTTTACAAAGGGCCTTGCTGGCAGGGCCCAGCAGTCGGTAACTGACACGAAAGCTTTAAAGTCCCCAGAATCAGAACTAGTTTCAACGTCAGAAGCTGGCCCAAACATTGGCTCCTGAGCTCAGTAATGTGGGTGCATTGTTGTATTACCCCGTTCCCCGTCCCTTTGGCACAGGGTGCAGGCAGGAGGCAGGGTGAGTGCACCCAGAGCATGGGGTGACGCTGTTCAATGAAGTGCAAAGGTGTTTTCTTGGCACCCGTTCCAGCCCCGAATGGAGCAGCACGGTCCCCTGGCTACCCCGTGGCCAGACGCAGGGGCCACGCTCTCCCCTGTCACCCCTTGGTGTTTAGGTGGCCCCCAGGGTGACACCCCCGGCAGCAGCTGCCCAGCACGGGGCAGAGCTGTGCTGGGAGCCGCTGCGTCCCGGTGACCTTTGCAGAGAGCGATGCTCTCCACGGCATCGTGCTGTGCTCTTGTCAGGACCGAGCCCAGTACGTCTCCCTCCAGCTTCGTTAGAAACAATTGCCAGGAGCTAAGGGGTGTGCTGATTGGAATATCGCTTTAAATGTTAAAAGCCATCAGAAGATCCCTGCTGTAATTGCCTTGCTGTCTTCCTGGCTGAGCTCTAATGTGTAGCTGTGGCTGCTCTCAGCTATCAGAAGCCTTGCTTCCCATATCCCACTTGCCTCTCCTGCTGTCAGCGCTCTGATCATCCTTTCTTGGATTTTTAGATTACTACAACTTTTCCCAAGGATCCAGTCTACACTTTTTCTATTTCTCAAAACCCATTCCCCATCGAGAACCGTGATGTGCTGGGAGAAACTCAGGTAAGGAGTGATTCAACAAAGCTATGTTTAGCACAGATAGGTCGTCTGTCTCCCTTGCACTTACTAATATCTGCGAAGGGACGGCTGCAGTTGTGCCCTTAAATCACCCCTCCACGGTTCAGTCCAGCGCTTGCCAAACACCTTCGGGCACAGAGCAGCATCTGCATGCCGATCAGCCGGCTGGATGCCTTGCTCCCCGCCTGCTCAGTGATGGGGACCAGGGCTCCTCGCTCTGTGCCAGGGCTGGCGCCTCCCAGACAGCACCAAAGAGGTTGGGGGACCCCAGCCCCACAGTGACAGATGGGACCGCTTCTCCCTGCGGACAGGAGTGGGACCAGGGGCTGTTGCTCCAGCTCCGAGAGCACCGATTTCTCTTCCTGGACAGATTTTTAAAACGCAGAGGCCATTTACTGCAAGAGGCCTGTAGCGTTGAGCAGAGGCAGCTGCCGGACAGCTCGAGGCTCTTGCTGGGTTTTGGCAGCGCACAGAAGGCTCAAGTTGCTTTAAAGCAGCAACAGCTCGTTCCTCTAAGGAGGCCATGCCAAAGATGTCAAAGGCATCCTCCAAAAGTCATCACAAGAGAAGGGCTGCTGCCTGTTGTGGCTCTGTCAGCAGAGGAGGAGAAGTCGGCTGTTCAACGACAGCTTTGGTCCTCATTTCTGAGGATGCCCTGGGTTCAAGAGCAGAGAAAAAAAGGGAGCTGGGGAAGAAGTGGCTGCTTTGTCCTCATCTGCCTCTTTTCCTTAGGGACTGGGCTTTGAGCTGAGCTGACTGGCCTCTGCTCAGCATCTCCTGGGTCTGGGATCCGCTCTGTATGCGCTGGGGGTGCTCCGGTGTTTGGATAGGAGAGCTAGTGTGGGCCCAAAGGTCCTTTTCTCTGGAAGTTTTTAGCTGCAACTCGGTCAGCCAGCCTGGGATCTGATTTTGGGAGAATCTCTCCACATTGCAGCCGATGCCCAAAAGAGACAGGAATGTTACAATGTCTGTTAGTGGATCCAAATAGGAAAATAAAGTTATCACGTGGCAGGAAGTGACTTCTCTTTATTATTGTCCTCTCTCTCTAGGACTTCCACAGCTTGGCCACATACCTGTCCCAAAATACTTCCTCCGTTTTCCTAGACATCATTTCTGATTTCCATCTGCTCCTCTTCCTGGTCACGAATGAAGTCATGCCTCTGCAGGTATGTAACGAGGAGGAAAGGGTCGTGTCGGCATGGCCGTCCCCAGGGCCCTGAGCTCCTTGCGGGGTGTCACTTGTGTGTGTGGAGGACACCGACCCAGCCTGCCACCCCCAGGCACGGCCCCTGGCTGGGTGCCTGTGCAGGGCAGGCCATGCAGCTGGCCCAACGCCTCTCCTTCCAGGCTGAGCTGTTGGCAGAAGATTTAAAAAGTGAAACCAAAGCCCCTGACTAGACCAAGAGCTCTCAACACGCTGCTCAGAGCAGTGAGGGGGTGGTGGTTGTTAGCACGGTCGCAGACCGGACAGAGCCAACTTGGCTGCGGCTCTGAGAGCTGGAAACATTTTAAAAAATATCTCAGAATCAGAAATTCCTGTCGTAACGATAACGAGATCAGAGCCCCCAAATCTCGGTGAGGCAAACAACTTCCTGGCTGTGCAGCTCTGCCGCTCTTGGCCGGGCACCGGGACCTTGGCAGCTGCTCAGGGCCCTGGTTCACATCTGCACCACCAGACCTTCCTGGGGTAAGCAGCACGCCAGCGAAAAGGGGCATGTGTTTGCCAGAGGTTTTGAGAGCGCCGAGGACTGCGCATGTGCAGGGCAGCCGGACTGATCCTGGGCAGCTGGAGATCAGGCTGCGGCTGCGTGCGTGGCTGGGGCCGGGCACCGGCACACTCCGGCACAGCGGGTTTGCACCCCCAGGAGTCAGGCTCAGCCCACGGCACCGGCAGGCTCTCCCACACGGGGCAGCGCGGTGGTTGGCTGCCGCCTGGTTAGGTGACAATCTCCTCCTCCATGCAGAGGATGAGGAAGCGTTTGGGTTTTAGCGCTATGTCTGAATGCTGGGGGGAGCAGAAGGGATAAACTGCATCTTGTTCCCTGCCGGTGAACGTCACTGGTGCAACCCAAAGGGGCAGCAGCTCAGACTCGCAGCTCCATCTCGCTGCAACTGGTGGAGGAGGGCAGGGAGGCACTTCCCTGGTCACAGCTCCAGCCTGGGTGCCGGAGGAGTGTCCAGCGCTGATTTCCCTCTTATGCCTTCCAGGACAGCATCAGCTTGTTGCTGGAAGCTGTGAGGACCAAGAATGAGGAGCTTGCACAGACCTGGAAAAAATCAGAGCAGTGGGCCACCATCGAGCAGCTCTGCAGTAAGAAAGGGGGTCCCTCTGGGAGGGGGTCCCTTGTCCCTCGGGCCAGGGCTGGGCCGAGCTGGCCGGTGGCCACCACGGAGGCTGCTGGAGGCTCGGGTGGGAGGAGAGCTGTTCCTTGGTCCCGAGCATTCCCCGCTGCACCGAGCGGAGAGCGGGACTGGGCTTCAGGGCTGCAGTGTGGGATCTGCAGTGCTCAGCTGTGGGGTGCCGAGATCTGCCACCATCCGGGAGCCTCCCCAGGGCGCCAGCCTTGGGGGTAAAGGCAGCGTCTCGGCAGGGACACTGCTGCCTGGGTTGGGACAGGAAAATTGCTCTGGGTTTAGGCAAGGGCCCTGCCTGGTCCCAGCACATCCTCCCTGCTCTGACTAGGCTCTTTCTCTCGCAGGCACAGTCGGTGTCCAGATCTCAGGACTGCAGGAGTACGGTGCCATGGGCGGCTCGACGCACGCCGTGTCGGCAGCCATGTGGGCCTGCCAGCACTGCACCTTCATGAACCAGCCGGGCACGGACCACTGTGAGATGTGCAGCCTGCCCCGGTCCTAGCCACGCCGACGCGGCAGCAGACTCCAATACAGAGCAAACCCTCGAGCAGCAGGAGTGGTGCTTCTCCCTTCCCCGTCCTCCCTTCCACCTCCCGCCATCAGGCACCCCAGGGTGCAGAGCTGGGCAGGGGGTGGCTCTGGCCCTCCTCAGTTACTCCTCGCTCCCTTTCAGGGGCAGCCCCGTAGTCGCAGCAGGAGCCGGGCGCCCCGGCTTTATCTTGACGCTGTCCCCGGGCCTGGGAAATGAATGCTTAACCTCAACCTTCGCCCCGCAGGGTCGGACTGTCCCCCCTGCCACCCCCAACTGCTGTCCTGGCCTGCTCCTGGGTGAGCGCTGGGGGCTCGGGGGGGCTGCAGCCAGCCAGGGCACCTCCCTCCCTGCCCACTCGCCTGCCCAAAGCAGCCTCCCGGCATAGCGGAGGTGACGGGGAGGCTTTGGCATCTCCCCGCCCGCAGCTTTGCTGCCCTTTCCCTGCCCGCCTGGGTTGCTGCCGCCAGCCTCGAGTGCCCGGGTCCTGACAGCTTTCGCGCTTAACGGCCCAGGCAGGGTGAGCAGACGACTGTTAACAGCGCTGGGCCAGACGGCAGCTCTGCCAGGCTGGGCCCTGCGTGCTGGCAGCGCTCCCAGAGCAGGACGGGCCCCCCCTTGGCACCGGGCAAGGGGTGGGCATGCGCCAGCTCCGGGCTTGGCATCGCTCCCGCGGCACGCACGGCACCGAGCCGTGCTCGCTCCCTCTCGTGCGGCAGAGACGCTTTGGCACCGGGCTGCGCGCGCTGGGGCTGGTGTGTGCTCGGGTGCTGGCTGAGCGTACCCCTGTCCTGCCTGTCCACCGCGGGGGCTGCGGGAGGCTGTCATTTCCCCACCATGTGCTGCATCACCCTGCAGAGGCTGCCCTGTGCCCGGGTGCTGGGGAGGGGGCAGTCAGATGCTTGCAGTGCCCCGGGGGCTCAGCTCTCTTCTCGCAGGGTCTCTGACCCCCTGCCCCCTCCTGGAGACCCCCTGCCCTGGTGCTGCAGGTTCAGGCCTTCGTTAAATCCCTGGGGCACCGGTTCCAGCAGTGCCCCGTGCCCTCGAGGCCCCATCCTGCGCCAGGACAGCATCACCCCTGCCTTCTCCAGCTGGGCAGCGGCGCAGGCAGGGACCCTCCGTGTGTGTCCCAGGGTGGGCAGTGTGGCAGGGACCCCCGTGTCTGACGGCCTCCCCTACCCCTCGCTGCTGCCGGCGAGCGCGGGCCCGGGCTCTGCCAAAGGCTTCGTCCCGCCGGCGTTAGCAGAGCGGCCGCCCGGCCCTGCCGCGGGGCTCGCGGGCTGTGGTTTGCTTTTTCCCCTGGGTTTGTTGGTGTTTGGGGTTGCAGTGGTGTGTGGGGCCTGGACTGGACTGACCCGGGTGCAGGGTCTGCAAGTAACGTTGAATAAAAGCACCTGAAATGAGAGCCAGCGCTATGCCTCCTGCGCTCTGTTACCCGCGTGGGGGCTGCGCCCCATCACCGGCCACTCAGCGCCCTGTTCCCCTGCCCATGGCTCTGCCGCGGCCGGGCGGTCTGTTTGCAATCAGTGCCGGAGCCGCGTGCGGCCGGGCCCCACGCCAGCCCAGCGCGTTGAAAAGGGAAGGCAGGAGCCGCGCGGAGCCAGAGCGGGGGGAGCCGAGCCCAGCGCCTGCCGCGTCCGCACCGGCCGGGACCTCAGCGCAGGTAGGAGGCAGAAAGGGCTCTGATGGCACCGGGTCCCACGTGCCCAGCCTGGCCCTCGGGGACATGACGCCCCATGGCCACCCAGCCTCGGGGTCCCTGTCCTGGGGCCGGTTGGGGATGAGGTGCTCCGGCTCGCGGAGCTGGCCGGGGCTGGGACCCTTCTCACCGCGCTCTCCCCTGGCAGCGCCATGTCACGATTTCTCCCCCTCCTGCTCCTCGCGGCTCTGGGCTGCGCCGTCAAGCTGAAGCGGCGGCCGGCAGCGTGGGACGATGAAGCGGACGGTAACACCCTGCCGCTCGGGACCCCCTCCCTGCCATGCAGGGGCTGCCGGTGCTTGGGTACAGGCAGGGCCAAAGCTTCCCTGCCTGACCCCTGCCTGACGGCGGGCAGCTGCACCCGGACGTGCAGCCGGAGGGGTGCTGGGGCCAGGGGTCCGGTGAGGGGCTCCTGGGGCCAGCCCTGACCATCCCGTCCCCTCCGGTCCCCGCAGCCGAGAGGGCACCGGCGAAGGGTTGCGCCAACCTGACGCTGGTCCTGGATAACTGGAAGTTCGCCATCACCTCCCAGATGAGGAACCTGCTGCTGTTTGACCACCAGACCGTGCTGCCCGACTACGGGAGGTGAGGGGCCGCGGGGCTGGCCGTGCCCCTCCGGCGGGGTGCGGGTGCTGGCGGGGGTCCCGCGCCCTCACCCCTCTCCCCCGGCCCAGGATCCGGTCGCTGTCGGGGGCCCTGGATGATCTGTACCGGGATTTCAGCGCCCTGAAGGAGCAGCTGGGGCGGGCGGCCG